TGAAGCAACATGAGCCTCAACACACACACACACACACACACACACACACACACACACACACACACACACACACACACACACACACACACAGTGTAATGTAGGCTTAATGTCAGTGACTCTTCTAAATACAAAAGCCAAAAAAGGACAGTAAAGGAAGAGAGAGAGAAGGACATGAGAGGGATAGAAAATGGGAGGAGAAGAGTAAAAGAAGAGGGTGACAAAAAAGAAAGCGAAGAACAGAAAACTGAATATAAGGAAGCTGTGGATGGCACAGGGAGGAGAAATGGATGTGGGTTGAAAAGCTAACAGAAAAAAGAGAATCTCAAAAGGTATCAAAAAACGTGGAGGTAAGACGGAATGCGCGAAAGAGGAAGAAGGAATAGGAGAGAGGAGGTGGATGGGAGAAAAGAGGATTGAGGAGTAAGAGGGAGAGGTGGAGGGAGAGGATTAGCAGAAACAGGATGATGAGAGTGCAAAAGATGAAGAGGGTGAAAGCTGAGAGGTAGCAGCAGCATGGGAGCTCAACAGAGAGGTGGAGGTGGATGGAGAGAAGGATGAGCTGAAAGGAGAAGAGGAAGACAAAGAGGAGCAGAGTGACAGGGTGGTATGAAAGCTGAAAGTAAGTAGGGTAGCGTGAACATCTTAGGAAACAGCATGAAAACAGGGAATATAAGCCTCTGTGGACTAACCCACCCTTACTTTAAGGTATCTAAATTCCAAGTACAAAGCTTAGTGCCTTTATAAAATCTTACAATAGAGGACATTTTTGAAATATCATCTGATTCTGATGCACAGCAGGATCAGCATCTTTTACCCTTGTGTGTGCTTAGAGTGATATTCAAGATGATCACTTTTCATAAACATATTTCAATGTGTTGCACAATTACATGCCTCCTCTGTGCTAGTGACACTAAGAACCCTTGAAGCCACAAATTGCACAAGACATCTGAGAAAATCTGTGTTTCTTCTTGTTCCTCTTCCTAACTGTGCACAATAATGTATGTGCAGGGTTTAAACCTTGCAGACTGACCTCTGAGGAAGTCGAAACTGTCTTCACACTTGCAATTTCAAAGGTGTCTTCCCCCTTGCATGAAGCATAAATGGCTTTAGTGAATAGCCCCCAAAACATCTCACTTGGAGAGAGCATACAGTATACTATGCATATGGTTAATACTTCATTAAAAAGACTGTCCTAACAAAATGTTTGCGACCAGTGATTCCCATTGCTATTCAAAGACAATGTTCAGTCTTCACTTGTCCTTGTCTGTGTCCTTGCAATGTGCCTCCATTGAAAACAAAAAACACTGCAGATATGCATTCATTTATTAATTAATATTTCACCTATAACAGAGTTGGGACCAGCTCACAATGCTATCAATCATTTCATCAATCATTTTGACACAAGACAGTCTAAGGCTGCATTAGTGAGCCCTACAGACTCCAGTGTTCATTACACTCCTCACAATAGGACATGCCTAAAGGTTCCCTGTGGAGTTTAAGCTCTCCAGTAGCACTATGGAGCTGGTTTGCATTAGTTTTTTTTTATCTTGTGAAGTGCACATGGATGTGCACACACACGCTGGGGATGATGTAATACACAGTCCTGCACTATTTCAGTGATTAACAGGTGGTGGTGACATGGTGACGAGATATGCAGCATTGCGCCAACAAAGGCAGGGAAGAAGACTGCAAGCTAGTAAACATGGATGTAAACAATGCTGGATTTAAAATACTTTAAAAATTGGCCTGCTAATGTTTTATGAGGAAGGACATGCACTGGATATGTTTGTTAGACTTGGATACACAATGTGTTTTGATGAAAAGCACTGAATTTAAATATAACTTTGGTTTAGGACTGCACAATTGAAATATGGTCAAGCGTAATATGCTAATTAAAAAAGCAGTAATTTTTTGATTACAGTAAAATGTGTGACAAAATATCATTATAATGAAGGACTGTAGTTCTGAAGCGATACCCTGGCCCACAAATGTTTATCAGGATTTTAAGTTTTTTCATTGAAATTTGTGATGCAAAAATAATCATTCCCACACTATTTGTGAATAATATCTTTCAGAATAATCACAATATGATGTTTTTACCATTGTGCAGCCCTACTTTTTACAAAAATACTCCACAGGGCCCCTTTAAAGCTAAATATGTAAGAGTTTGTTCTGAGGGTGGCAGTAGAGAAAATGTCATGGGGCCCTGAAAAAGGTTTATACTACTGAAACCATAAATGTGACAGTGAGACTGTCCATCCATTTATTGTGTGCAATGGAAAGATCTGGCCAGAAGGTGGCGCTTACGGAAAGGACAGGGTGTCACCAAAAACATTATGAATCATGTCAAGCTCTATGGACATGGGCTATCCATTGGACATTTAATGGTTATCTGGACAGTAGTTGTTACATATATCTACTTTTCATCCATCACCACTAGCGGGACAAAAATGTGGGAAAACCAGGGCCTTCATTAGACCAATTTTTTTCATCCTCTTTAGATGTCTCATATATTTTCTTTCACATTGTCTGAAAGGTAATCTAATTTACTGAAGTGATTGAATTAAGAATGAACTGGCCCCAACTTTAATCTCATCACACAGTTTGAGACTTTTCAGAAAGAATCCTCAGCTACACACCACATACAGTACAAAGAATGCAGCATTTAGAGTAGTCACTGTACACACCGAGACCGTGCATAGATAACATAGATTGTCACTGCTCATATTACAGTAGTCCTTGTTTTAAACAAAGCACTGAGGTATTCCCATGGGTTTTTATGTCAAAAATGTACCAATTAACATTCTAAGAGCTCTATTATGTGAAAAGGACATCCATGACCATGCACGTGTCAGAATGTACAGCTAATCAGGGGATTTACATTAGTGCTGTCACGATATACTGGTTTTCACCATTATCCCAATATTTACAACTGTACAAAGAATATTTATACTGCTATTCACTGCAGCCACGATTCTGGTCCATGCCAACTGAGGATCAACTTTTTTTCTCAGTACTGCATCCATCTAGGCCTGTCACAATAACGACTTTTGTTGGACAATATATTGAAGCAATTCACTTTTAATTCTTAAGAATATTCAGACACTGGAATGTTAAAAAAAATTAAATAGACTGATAAATAAAACATAAATAAAACAGCACAACCAAAACAATAAATGAATTGGACTCTCAGGCTCTTTAAAAAAAATTGGGTCATTCATTCCTTAAAAGCAAATATAGTAAGTAATGGTAGGGAAAACCCTACTGTTTATTCTGGCACCGTGTTGGATAACATTAACATTAACAAAACTATAAGTGTAATATCCTGACAACTGATAATTATATATCGTACAGTAAATCAACAATATAATTATTGTGACAGGCTTACATCCAACCAGTTTGTATTACATTAGTTTAGCAGAACAGCCTTCCATTAAAAATAACGCGACAAAGAAAGGGTTTCAGAAGTCAGGTCAAACCTTGTTAATGGAGTATGTATTTTTTGGTTTGCAGTGATATAGTCTTGCTTTAAAGACTTGTTTCATTCAATGTTGTGTGTTTTATGTCTGAGGGCCGTGTTGGAAATGGATGGTTGGATTGGTGTGTTTTGTACATTCATAACCAACATCAATATTGTATTATTTATACTAAATAGGAACGCTGAAGTTCCTTTGTCGTTATCGCTGGGTTGCCAAAACACACACACACACACACACACACACACACACACACACAACTGGGTTCACACATGCATACACACACCGCCTTCAGACCCTCTGTCTTCTCTCTGTGTTCATTTACACAGCCAACTACTATACTATTCTATACTACTATTTAACTGCCCATCTTTATATTGCAGCATTCCTGCTGTTCGTTCTGCATTTGCACAAAAGAGGATGTCCTTTTGAAGTTGGCAATTAAATGCTAAATGAAGTGTTAAATATTATTTTTTTATATTTGTAATAACATTTTGTATTTTGTGTAGTATGGAAAGGTTAATAATATTGTGATATTTTGAGCCACAATAAAGGGTTTAATTAAAAGTTGATATCGTGACAGCTCTAATTCAGATAGAGTAAAGTGACAGAGAGCAAAGATTAGGCTAGACTTCTATACTGTAGACTCGCATAGCCAGACTTTTGACTCTGGTCCACAGTGAGTTTTAACCAAAAAGATCTTTTAATCAGATTTTTCAGTGAAAACAAACCCAAACAGGCAGTTTAGAGCACAAAGATCTTAATGCACCTGTGTGGACCAGACATCAGGCCATGCAAGGCTACTTCTCCAGACAGAGGGGGAGATTAAAAACACAGGGTGGTGTAGCTAGATAGAAGGAAGTGCTACTGAAGTCCTGCAGACAGAGGTGGGGCTGAGGCCTCCTGGGCATGTTGAAGCAGCAGCTGCATGGTGGTCAGCAGGTGTGAGATCCATCTTTTTCTCCCTCTCTCTCTCTCTTTTTGCTGGGTTGCTGAAGGTGAAGATGGAAGAAAGCTGCTGTGCATGGTCAGCCTGACGTCCGTCCCTCTTTCTCTGTTCTCTCTCTCTCCCTCAATGTTTCTCTCTCCTCATGGTAAGCGGAGGTGCAAGGCTTGTGAGAGGCCGGTGATTGGCTGGTGTGAGTGTTTAGATTGGAGATGGAGAGGCGGGAGGCGGAGGAGTCTTGGTGTGATGGAGGTCTACGGTCCAAACTGTTTATGACTATACTCTTAATCCACAGTCGGAGACTATCCCATAATGACTCAAAATCTGTACACAGTTTCACAAATAGTGTGAAAACTAATACCATTTTCATCTATTGGTGTAACCTGAATCGAAGTTGGCTGGAGTGGAGGGAAATGTGCCACTAGAGAGAATTCAGACTAACAACAGCATCCTACCTTCCACATCACAGGAATGAAAAAGAACCTCAAACCGTCCAGTGGTCATAGTTTAATTTTAGTGCAAGTATGAAAGAGAGACAAAAGAGGATGAGAGACAGAGAGAGACAGTGTATTTCTTACCTCGTCTGACCAGGTAAGGTTTAGTGTAGTCCCAGCTCTCGTTGTCGTTCTTAATCACGTTCAGACGTGTTGGCTGTTGACACAAAGATCACAAAGAATGAATCAGGATCCACATTAATGTTTAACAGGTTACAGGTTTCTTGTTCCACACTATATACAGCGATACAAATATGTGAAGATTTAAATCGGTGAAATGAAAAATTAATTGTGATACTCAGGTCAGTAGCTGTATCAAGCTGCAAAAACATGAATCTGTGCTGCTGTTTCCTTGTGTAAAAACCATTGTTAATCCTCGCCGTATCCTGTTCTTTTCGAGCAACAGGCAAACGATGCTAGCTGGCTCAAACCCTTTTCATATAGGGGAAGAGCGTATAACACCGAGTTCATATGAGGTTCTTTTGTGAGAGCTCTCATGGGTTAATCTCTGGTTGTCACTTTTAGAAGTGTAGAGTCATACACTTCACAGATAAACCACAGGAATACACATTTTCTCATGACACAATTACCACATAAAATTTTTGTTTCACTTCTTTCCTTCTGTCCATACACACACTCTCTCTCTCACTGTCTCACATGCCCAAACAGGCACACTTTATCTTTCTCTCTCCCTCCATCTCTGTCTTTCTCACTCTTTTTTGGAGAGCTGGTCCATTGGCGTTTAAATATCATCACTGGAAGAGTGGCGAGCACGATGCCTTTAGGAAACAGTTAAGCTTTAGTCACACTACATGACTTAAAGTTGCCATATGTCTGTACTGTTCACACAACACAACTTTCTGTCTTGTAATCAGGAGTCTTGAAGTTGTTGTGGTTTTTATGACCAGATATTTAGCCTGCTAGATATTTTTCTGCAGTTGGTCTACAAGCTCTTGTCGAGTCTGAGGATGGCGTTGAACAGTTCACACAATGTGTGGGGGCCTTTTAAGTTTTTGTCGACAATCGCCAAAAATACTCTATTGTATTGTATTGTAAAATCAGGGCGAGAATCATGTAGTGTGAACTAGGGTTTAAGGAAACTGGTTGTATATATCTACTTACAGGTTTGTTTTTCTGTTTGTTTCTCCCTTTCTTTTCTTTTACTACTGTTTATGCTTGCTTGTGTATAAAGACTGTTTGTGCTATGTGATTTATGTTTTGTTTTATGTTTTTGTTGAATGTCATTTTTTTATTTTAATTTAGCAAAAATAGGGGAGAATGAGCCTTTAAGGCTTCCTTCCTCTCCCGCGCTGTAATCACTGTCATCTATATATATGTACTTTGCTTTATTATTATATTATCATTGTGTAAATAAACTATACATGTTGCATATGCATGTTGACCTATTCAGAAAAATGATCACCTTGGTGTGTCAGTCTGAATGAGGTACAAGCCACAATGAGGTGGGGAGTTCTGTTCGGAAACAGTAAGTATGTCTTGTGGTGTATCCCAGGGTTCAATGCTGGGTCCCATTCCTTTCTGTCTGTACATGGTGCCATTAGGCTCACCTGCAACATTGATTCCCTTGCTACGCAGATGACACACAGCTCTTTATCTCAGCTGGCCCTGATGATTGAATGCTGTGCACAATCTTGAAAATTGCATTACAGAAATTAGTGAGGGGATAAATTAGGAATTAGGATTACATATTATTTTGTTATCAGGAAAAGTGTCCAATCCAGAAAACCTAATTTCACATTTTACTCCATGTTCTCTCAACATTACATATGTGGTTAATAATCTAAGGGGAAATCTGGGATTTTGATTACATTTTGAAGTCTTTCACCATTTCAAGAATGCTGTCATGGTCATACCATTTCTGTTGTTGGACAACTGTGAAAAACATATTCATGCTATCATGTGTCCTGATTACTGTAATGCGCTGCTCACGGGGTGTCCCTAAAAACCTATAATTTAATTTATGTGATTTTCTGGAGAAAACCTTATCAAGGCAGCATGTCAGTGCTAATCTCAATATTACAGTGACACCAGGCTTGTGACTGCTGATGTGTTTTGTGTTTCTTACCCTTGCATATTCAATCTTAAGTGTACAGCAACCAGCGTAGATGTCAGCCCCGTTCAGAGCAGCTTTGGCCTTCTGAGCGCACTGAACGGACTCAAACCTGGAGGAGTGGGGTCAAGGAAAGGACACTGCATATTCCAACACACAGATACACACAGCATGTAAAGACTCACATATTCACACACTCAATAAGGATACTCCACCATGGCCTGGATTCCATTCCGTTTAAAGATGACGATCCTCAGCACACTGCCGATGGGGTTACACACTGTGTACAGAACATCCTGGACCAAAATGAAAAAAAAATAAAGAAATTCAACATAATCTAAAAGTTTCTAATGCTGTGGTGAGTGTTTTAACCTGCATGAAGCGCAGGCCTCAGGCCACTTTGCATTTCATTAATACCATAAGGCTAATGCAGTTGGAAAGAGAGATATATAACTCCATGCTGATATACATTTTCTGTCTTGTTAGAAATAAATACTTTTCAAAGACAAAAAACCTATATTCTTCAAATAATTATGGTTACAGCTGTTTAACATTCAACAAACAACAACATTCACAAATCAACACATTTCTGGCACAGTTTCTAGCACAAAGTACTGTACATAGCTTACATTAGAGTCAACACTAACTTTACCAACAGGCCAGATGACAACACTGGTAACCTTGTATTTTGGTCAATACCGTCTACAGATTGGCAAAGAAGCAAAACTTTCTTTAAAAAATGTCAGTGTGTCAAGCAGAAATTAAATTTGCATCATTTTGGATTTCCTAACAACATTTTTGTAAAGCTTCTTAAACCACTAATCCAGTCCCCTTCAAATTCAGCAAGAAAAGAAAGAAAGATGTTCCTTATTCCTTATTAAGGGTGGCTGTGGCTCAGAGGCAGAGCGGGTCGTTCCTTAATCGGAAGATTGTGGGTTCGATCCCCGGCTCCTGGTGCCACATGTCGAAGTATCCTTGAGCAAGATACTGAACCCCAAATTGCTCCTGATGCCGTGCATCAGTGTGTGAATGTGTATGAAAGGGTGAATGTCTCACATAGTGTAAAAGCGCTTTGAGTGGTCGGAAGACTAGAAAGGCGCTATACAAGTACAGGTCCATTTACCATTTACCATTCCCACTGAGCGACAAACTTTATAAAGCATGAATTCTAAAACTGACTGAAAACTGAGTAGTGAAATTGCCAAACATTCTTGGATTGCCTGAATAAATAACATGAATTGTTGGAAACCTGAGGATGATATTGGTGAAAATTTTCTCATCTAATGAACGGGTTACTGTAGTGTAGTTTTCAATTATTTAAAATTCAGCCCATAAAGGGCACCCTACAGCCATTCAACCATTTGCTTGAACATTTTTAAATTTGGAGGTCAATGTATCGCATTTAGCAATGTTGTTATATGATCTACGTAAGTTTAATGGTTAAAAAAACATATAGAAAAAGCTATGATCAGCTATGATTTTGTTGCCAGTGGCAACTGTCATTTGCTCATGATTGACTTACTTTTCTGAGAAGGCAAATGGTGTTGGTAAGCTGTGTCTTGTACTGTATTGACCAAAAGTCTTAACCACATCAACTGCACTTTGAAGATATAATTAAAATTTCACATTTATCAACAATTATAAAGGCAAAAAATTTCCTTGGCAGTCACTGAGACACTAAAGTATAAACTCAGAGAGGCAATATAGAGATAGAGTGCGGGTAAAGAGAGAACAAGGAACAACAAGTCTAGACGGACACTTAATGCTGTTAAGGGAAGCTAATAAATCTTAATAAATCTAGTTGACTTGAGAGGGAAAGACTGACAGGCAGACAAATTAAATATTAGGTGCTACACTCTTACACTGAAATGTTTGTACATAGAGTCAGAAGTCCTGAAAGGATCATACGGCACCTTTTAGTCCAATTACAATATATGAACAACAGTTTTTTAGACTTAAGTGTGTTTCTACATTCCAGGCAGCCACCAAAAATCCACTGGTAGGGATTATTATGTTGTAGTGCAACCTGACTTGCACTTGTGGGTAATAAGATCATGCTGTTAATCACCAAAGGTTTGACTGTGAATATGAAAAATTTGTATAATATACATTACATGTAGCATATTTTTATTAATGCATATACACAAATCCGGCCATCAGTTTGTGTGTTCTGCCATCTAGTAGCGCCACCATTACTGAGGTGGCAAGTCGTAGTGACTGACTACTGCTGCCCACTGAGAGTGCCAGCAGCACGTGTCGTTAGATTGACGACATTAGTTACCACTACTGTTGGAGCAGTTGGTAACTGCACAACTTCTACCCCGTTTCCTAGACATCATTGTAAAAATAGCGTTACATAGAAAATCTAAGGAAAATTTTAAAATTTTACATTTCTTCGGACGGCTTGCATTCAAATGCATGCATATTGTAGGGAGACAAAACCGCAGTGATGAAGACTTGTTTACTTCCAGTACTTCCCCCGGATTCATGTATACTAAAATTGTTTTGTTTCTTTATTCTACTAATGATACGATAGTCCACATAGATGCAATTGTGTGTATTTACCGTGGTTATAGGATAGAGGGGATTCTGTATGGACAGGAGGAGGACCTTGTTGCCACTGTTGGGGTTGTCAGCGTTGGTCGGCCTGGTGATTCTCTTGGATGTGGAGTAATTAAAGTAGGCCTGTTGGCCTGATAAGCAGATTGTTGAGAATATTAGGGATGCACAATATTGATTTTGCCCAGTCTATATCAATAACCCATCATTTCACATTTTTGTATTTAAAAAAACAAACTTTTATAACCTGTAGTTTATGCACACCTGAAGGTAAGAAAGGCTTAGATGTAGGGAGCAGATATGGATGATTCAATATTCCACAGCTCTGTTCAAACCAAATCTAAATTACATCACTATTGTTAACAACAACAACAACAACAACAACTCTTCAAATTTATTTTTTCCAGTAGAGAACATCATCGACTGATCATTTATGAACTGTATTTTTATTATCAGAACAATACACTGATATTTATAGTAGTATACTGTGTGTGGTCATAAAGTATGACATAACAAATCAGCTAGGGATCCAACCTGCAATGTAAACAGGCTCCTTGGCTCCACAGGACACACAACGGTCGGCGCTCTCCACTGCTGAGAATTCCACCAGGGCCTGGCGCTTGAATGGCATCATCATCACATAACTGAGAACACACACATACACACAAACATTAAGACAGGACATACACATGCTATTCATTCAGATCTTTTCCAGCTAACGGGTTTTAAACTGGACACATTACCTCCTCTGCCAGCCACACTGGTTTTCCACTTTTTGGCAACATCTCAGAACAGCTGATTGTGTTTCAAACCTCAGAGCTTGAGTCTCAACAGATCTGAATAGGAACAGATCATTTTTGTGCTGCTGATAATATGAACCAAGGGCACAGTAGGGCCTTCCCAACCCCAGTAGAGAAGCAAAGGAGTCCACCAACAAAAGCAATGAAAGACAAAACAATGTGAGCCAAATCAGTTCAATAACATAATATGTGTGTAAAGATGTGTGATTACGTGTTTGTGTGTCTATCACAGTATGCTTTTCCCTGCATCTCTATTCAGGTGAGTGAGAGGTTAATGAATACTGCACCATGCGAGGAGTGTAAATAATGGAGAAGGAGTCGTTTAGAGTGGAAACTGCAGTATCACAAAATGTTTCCTTCAATTATTCAGCATCTGTAACTATCTTTACACTAGAGCTACTGAAGCTCCCTGTACTTTATTACACTGTATTACTTCATTTGCCCACCATAAATATTTATTCATGTCCAAATGTTCATGGGTGTTTTTTGCTCTTTAAAAAGTGTGATTGTTATTGATGATGATATTGGTGTTTATTGATGATAGTATGATGCCAATTCTACATGGTGATGATACATCAAGGACAACAGGAGATAAGACTTACATCATCCTTGATGTTTCTGAGTTAAATCTTGAGAATTGACATATTTAACCCCCGTTTTCTTCTTTAAAAATTCAGGGTTCATGATGGAGTGTCTCAGATTCATTACAGTTAGGTGGTCAGTGTTTCAGGCACTCCACCTTAATTTGCAGGTTTTTCTCCTGCATACTCTCCGGTGAATTGACTACAGTTTACTACATTTTTCCTCTAATCTTAACGTTTCTTTGGCTACAGCTCATAAGTAATGGTAAAGAAAGTACAGAAAATGTAATCTTCTCACCTATTAGCCTATTAAAAGAAGAAGTAGCGAGTGTTTGTTGCACGTACAATTACAATTAACATTGCTGTGCATGTATTTAATAACCAAAACAACTAGACATTTTTTTGTGAGAATTCTAATCCGGAGAAATTTGAAATATTAGACAGGACAGCATAGATTATTTCCAGGATATTTTGTCATTTTAATATTTTTTTCAGGTGTTTCCATGACTGGAAAACTAGTCTCTAATTGTCAGAATGTGTGGGAACCTTGATTATTCATATGATATGTGTAAAAGTTAAACTCCAGAGAAAAGGTGCCACTCTGTTGGTCTAAAAACACTGTTTTTTAAACTATGGTACATGTACTACTGGTGGTACAGCGTAAAAAGTTTAAGAAACAGTGGTCTAAAAGAACTATATAAACACTAAGCAGAGACATTAAGCAACAATCCATGCTAGATATAAATGACCAGCCTGCTAATCTAAAGGTGTTGTTCATTAATCTTTGCTAAATAGGAGGAGGGAGGAGAGATAAACCATCTGATAACAGATCTGTTAGTCACAGAGTTTTTTTTCTTTCACATGCACAGAAATGCTCAAACTGTACTGCCTCCCAGTAACCTTCTGTTGTCTCTGGTGCAGATATGAGCCTGCAAACCTCACCAAGATCAACAGCTAATATTTTAGGGGCCTCTGAAACTGTCTGGTCAGTGTGACTGGGTTCTCTCTTTCTCTACAGATGTGTCAGCCCTGTGACTGACTGGTGACGCGTCCATGGTGCTCACTCCAGACACCAACAACCTGGAACAGTTTAGAGATTGGATGAGTGACTGTCTCACCATATGGGTCCAAACTTCTCCAGGGCATCTATCAGGTCTGCTTCCACTACGGCCTCACACAGACCCCTGACATGGACCACAGGGCTGGGAGAGATACGATGGGAGTCCTCACCATTATCCTGCAACACACACACAGTCACAGTTACAGACTAAGCTCCTGCACCGGCTCAGGTAACCACAGGTACCCGCGGGTAACCTGCAAAAACATTGTGTAACAGGTAAAGATGAACAAAATGTAGGCAGGCAGCAGGTAAGAAGAAAAAATTTGTTTTTCTAGAGAAATCAGAAATGAAAATGAGCAGTTTGCAATGTGCAAGCTATTTTTAACATCTAAATCGGCTAGATATTATCAATCCTAATCAGCCAACAGGATCTTTTTCATTGTAAAAGCTGCAAGCGTGCACTTCCTGTCTGAGGAAACATACAGCTGCAGCAGATGCACAGGTGCAAGTTGACAATAGACTTTCCCAAGAACACAACTCTTGTGACAGGACATCAAATTTGTGTGTGGAGATTGATTCAGCAAACTGGCACAGGGTTTGATGGACGTTGGGACGCAGCCACACCGTAGTGAGTTGGTGGTGGATTCAGAACAGACTGTGGTTAATTATGATTTGAATTTACGTTTCTACATGTCACACTTCTATTTGTGCAAGCAAAAATAGGTAGCATGTGTGCTTAATCACAGTTTCACAGCCAATCTGAGAATTGTAATGTGTATTTCTTCAAGGCCACAGTCCACCCATCATTCAACAGCAAATAGCAGGATAACGCTCCATATCAACATAGCACACATCAAGCTGCTGCCACCAACACAGCACCTTTGGGATGTGGTCGTACGGGAGATTTGCAGCATGTCAACATGGAGCAGAATCTCTAAGGGATGTTTCAAGTACCTTGTTGAATCCATGCTACCAACAATTCAGACTGTTGTGGCCCCTAGGGGAAAAGGCAGTCCTGCCCAGTATTAGTATCAATAAAGTGGCCACTTATGTTTACCAGTGTAAGCAGTGTAAAGAGAAATGAATGAGCCAAAAGCTTTCTAGACCAGTCTGAAAGGGGTGTAACTTATTATTCAGTCATCCACTACATATCCAGCCAGTCAGCTTAGAATTACTTAGCAAAACAATTGACTTCTGTCTGTGAGAAAATTAACCAGTGGAAGTTTGAAGTGGTTCCAGTTCTCCCAGTGTTTCAGCTTGAATAAATACAAGACATTGATGACAAACAGGAAATCAGTGGTCACTAAAGAGCAGCAGTGCTGGCAAAAGCCCACGTTGTGACACAAAAGGGCTTTTTTGGACGGTCAGTTATGAATATAGAGTATTCTTGAGGAGGGAGAGAATGTAAAAGGGAATTCCCATCAAAGCCCAACACATCAATCTAATCTTTTCTTATCTTTTCTATCACCCTCAGATATTCGGACTCTTTTAAACTTTAGTCTCCTCACTCTGCTGCTTGTAACATCCTCAGTCTATTATCCATCCCTTCTCTTCCTGTCCCTCTTTTTGTCCTTCTCTTTCACATTGACATTCCTTTAAGTCTATTTATAGAGGCCGAGGGCTCATCTGAGTGTTTGGCATGAGACTTGCTTTTCCTTCTGTTGACCAAGCTTCTGGCTTCTCTGTTTCAGGCATGTTAGCATTATTTATATACAGACACGGCATGTCCATTATAAAGATTTCCCCTGGCATTCACATCCTTTTATCAGTGTGTTCTGTCCATTGTCCCCAGCTGTAAATTGATTGCTTTGATATAGTGTTGATAACACTAAAGATTTCTGTGGATCTGAGTAAATATGACAAAATGTTCCTTAAATGAGTTTTATTGATATATCTCTACTGTTGTTGCATACCCTTGTTTTTCTTATATCGATACCCAAGTGTTCTTAGCTGGGCCCTATTCATTAACCAGTATACAGCACCATCATCAGACACATTAGTACCACAAAACATGCAAATTAGCATCTCTTTCCCAGTTCATACCATAGATCTAGTGTGGCCAATAATGCACAATGGAGCACCAACAATGTGTCATTCCAAATAATGCAATAAAAACCTCCAAACAGCTAGACTGCTATAGGCTTTACACAGTTCAGGGAAACCGCAACATGCTTGTTGCTTCATACGGCAGGTTAGGTATAGAAAAATGTCCTTGCCTTAATGTGAGGTTAGCCTACTGCTACTTTTCTGAGGACAAGCAACATGCTTCTTGCATAGATTTATGATAGTGGATTAGCATCCACTCTGTTATGTGGAAGGGTCTAACCGTCGACAGATCAAACTGTCAAACTAGGCAGTGCTGATCAAATACAAAGATTATCTTACTGTGTTGACTATTTCTCACCTAAAATCCTTCTAAGAAACATATTTCAGTTGAAACTGTGCAGCCAATGATAGAAGCTCAATTGGCTCTGACAAATTGTCATGGTGACGACCAAAATGTCGAACTGGAGGCTTCAAAACGATACCAATGGGTGACATAACGATAGGTTCACAATTTTAACGTAGTCTGTACTTTTAGTCTTCAAAATAATAATATAAAAAAATCAATACCTGTATGTGCATTTTTTAAGACAATGATCACATAAGGGTGTATTATTAATTTCTTTTCATCTTGTTGTAACTACAAGGATTATGGTTTCCCTGTATTTTTAATGGTAGTGTTTTATCTGACATTTGGACTTTTGTTTTGTGCAGTATCCCTTTCTTCTACAGTCCCTCTGAGTCTTCATGTTCTAAATCAGCAGTGCAGTCTGAAAATATCATCTCTCCATGCTGCAGAACACCAACTGGACAGCCGCCATCTTCCCACTGCTCTCAGCTAAACATGAAGCCTTGCTCTTACTCATCCGCTTGCACACTAACACAAATAGCTAACACTTGAATTCCCCTTGCAACAGGAAATGTTCTTCATTTGGATTTAGAACAGAATTTTCACTTCATCCAAGATGAATAAATGAAATGTTTGTGTTCACAGAACCAAAATAACTGGATGACAATGAACAGAATCATTTTACATTATTGGCTAAGTTGAAGTCTGGTTGTAAAATATGTAAAATGGTAATCTGTCCATATGTTTTGACCTGTAGTTGCAGTAATGGTGTCATGCATCATTAATCTAATCTGTGTGATAAACAGAGGAATGAACTGGATATAAATGCTCATATACCATACACACCTAACCATGCTTACACTGATTTCATCAACAGTATCACTGCCTCATGACTACACTCTTCCTCATCTATTGGTACCTCACTCACTTTCAAATCACTTTTTAAGACAAATATGCAATTCCCGCCTCACTGAAGCCCTGACATTCAACTGAAAGTGAGTTTGCATTTTTAGAAACAAGGTTTCTTTTCATGAGACATTTGTTTCCACAAGCTTCTTGTCTGTGCTCTATAGTGATGTATAATGCATAAATTGATCTCCTTAGTGTATTCATGCTTTAGATGATGTTCACATAGCATTCAGGCTCAAATTCCTCCGTGATCACTGTGATGATGAGCAATGTTAACCTCAGACTGGCATTGTGATTCTTGGTTTATCACTTCTGAAGCTTCATGAGCACAGTCGCTCCCTTCAGCTCACACATTTTTTTTGACACAGGGGCTGGGTGTCATCCAAAATAATTTTTGACAAATTTCAATCAATGCTTGAGTCTCTCTTATCTGACAGCCAATATTATGCATGTTAGACCCTGCAATATATCATGGCATCTACAGATTTTTTTTACAATTTTTATAGGATATTTTTATATATTTCATACATTATCTGTTTATCTCACAGGTAGATAGTAACAGATTACAAATAACACACTTTTTTTTAAGGAACAAGTACTACCTCTGTTCCATCTTTTAAACTGACCAGGATTCTGACTCCAGGGAGACATGGCAGGGACAGGAGAGAGAGCAAAGTTATTGTGAATTTGGAAGTTATTTATTGTGTGTTTGAAAGAGAATTGTGTGATGTTATACTGTGTTGAAATACATTTCAATTTCAAAGTTCAGTCTCCTTGCCAGTTTTTCCGACACATTCAGAATCATTACCTCTTTTTCTGTTAGCATTTAACAGACGGCTCTTAAAATAAATATATATATTTATTCAAATAATTACATTTATTATTATTAGATATATTATATATATTATATATATATATATATATATATATATATATATATATATATATACATATACATATACACACACATGTTCAATAAACAGCTTAAAATGTTAAATTATCTGTAACCTGACAAGACTCTGGGTTGCCAGATAATCAGGTTTCCCATCTCATGCTTTGGCCCATTCTGATACTACAGGACCTACTACTATTCACCATCTTAGCTTTTTTATTTGCCATGTCAGCATGCTAACATTTGCTAATAAGCGCCAAACACAAAGTACAGCTGAAGCTGATAGGAATGGCATTAATTTTGTTGATATTTGGTCATAAACCAAAGTACTCCTCAAATAAAAATTCTGACAGAGGATCACCAAAGTTATTACAATTCATCCTGAGGGGAACATGAATGTCTGAACCACATTTAATGGCATCCATCCAATAGTTGTTGCACCTAAAACCACATGCTGGCATTAGAAGGAGAGACAGGGTCTCAACAAAGTAATATATCATTTTATTCTATAGGAAATGCAGGCATGTTCTCTTAATTGGCCTTCTTTACTGGATATGATCAGTCTTTCTTTATTGTCAGGATATGTACCACAGTCCTTTAAAGAAGTTGTAATAAAATCCCTTCTTAAAAAGCCCACTCTTGGCCCAACGGTTTTAGCCAACTATAGACCAATTTCTAACCTCCCCTTCCTCTCTAAGATTCTGGAGAAAGTAGTCGCCAAACAGTTGTGTGACTTTCTACATAACAATAGTTTATTTGAGGATTTTCAGTCAGGATTTAGAGTTCATCACAGCACAGAGACAGCTCTGGTTAAAGTTAACAATGACCTTTTGAGTGCTTCCGATAATGGACTTGTCTCTGTACTTGTATTATTAGATCTTAGTGCTGCATTTGACACCATTGACCATGATATTCTTTTACAGAGACTTGAGCATCAAATTGGCATTAAAGGAACCACACTAAGCTGGTTTAGGTCATACTTAT